GTTCCCCGTGGTTGGATTCGACTAAAATGGCAACAAAATATGAAGTAAAACAGAAACAGCTTCCTCTGTCAATACAAAGTGATGAAACATCAGAAAACAGTAAAAGTGGCAACAGAGGATCACCAACGGGTGTATATGCCTCATACTATAATTTTCTTTTGAAAGTGACCATGCTTTCTCATAATTATATGAAGGATGACTCAAGTAAACATCATCTTATACAAGAAAAATGTAAAGGACACTTTTATGAAAAAAAAAACAGGTTTTATGTAAAATTGCTGTTCTGGAGCCGGCTCAGCAGCAACAAGTGTGGACAATTTTGACAAAATCTGTGTTGTGGTTTAATTTAGGGCCACCTGTTGTTGTCATTACGCATCACAAGTGAATCACTGCGTAAAACGTGCTTTGTAAAAGGTTAAAACAGATCTGCAAATTATGTCTAAATGCAGCTGAAAACTGTTTGAGGTGATTCCTTCAGTGAAGTGGTTTAGGAAAAAACTGTGAAACTCAGCCCACAATCTCAAACGGGGACTGAGAGACATGAAATGTGTTTACGAAAACATTATTACATTAAGACAACATGTATATATACCTGTGACTTCACTGGGTATATTTTGCTTATGTGAATTTGAACCCACTTTCAGCTTCTAGGCATCTTTTCTGTGGAAGCATCTCCCTGTTTGAATTTAAGATTAGGCTTTTTGATGAAGCATTTAGTTGTGGCTGGATCAGGTCACCCTGAATCCTCCCTTAGTTACATTGCAATAGACCTAGGCAGCTGGGGGCTTCTCATGACAAGTGTTTCTTTTTCACTCACTATGCATTTAATCATTAGCTAATTTTAATCACTGGTACTCTTCCACAGCTTATTTTTGTCCCAGCTTCTTTCCCTTAACCCCGACCGGTCGTGACAAATGGCCGCCCCTCCCTGAGCCTAATTCTGCCAGAGGTTTCTTCCTGTTAAAAGGGAGCTTTTCCTTCCCACTGTCGCCAAGTGCTTGCTCATAAGGGGTAATTTGTTGGGTTTTTTCTCTACTTTCTCTGTATTAGCATAAAGTCTTCCTTTTGAGATTTTGGTCCAGCATGCTTCAAACAGTTTCCTGTTTTCCTGCAACATTCCTGTTCAGCCACATCCCAACGATGCACTATTAGACTGAGATTTGGTGAGTGTGGAGGACGGTTGAGTACTTGCTGTCATGTTCAAGTAAACAGAGATGACCTAGAAATAGCAAATTGGGTCAAATTGTGTTCAATGTGTTATACACTCAGAGATGCTCTTCTGCCAATTTGGTTGTAACAACTGGTTATTTGAGTTATTGTTGTCCGCAAGGCCATTCTCCCGTGACTTCTGACATCACAAAGGCACTTTGGCCCACAGGATTGTTGCTCACTGGACATTTTGCTCTTTTTTAAACCCCAGAGACAGCTGTGTTGGAAAATCTGAAAAGATCAACAATTTTGGTAAAATAGAAGTAAAGAAC